AAAGTAGTGATCATCAAGCAGCGACAAATAACAAAGATGGCGCAGGCACCATGTGTCCCAATGACCCTGATTAGGACATTTAAAAAAAAAATATGTATATATGTTTTTTTATAATTTAATTTTAAAACGTCAGGATCTGAGCCATCATGGATAAAGACAGATAGGACCAATTTAAAGCACTTTTTAGAAAAGGCAAAGAAGAATAAACAATCTGGGATTTACACGGAAAATAATATAATATAGTGTACTTTTTCTAGGTGTTTGTTAATTTGCATAGTTGCTCTTAAATAAACATGTTCTTAGAAAATAAATAGTTTTAATATATTAAAACTATATAAAGCTGACCAATCGCTTCTCCATTATTAAACTAGTACATTATTTTTTTTTTCTTTTTAGGTTTGTGACACAATATCGGACAAAAAATATCCAAAAACAAAAAGTAAACCTATACATAAAATAGTTTTGTTTTTATAAAGTGTTTTTATAATGTTTTTTATTGTTGGAATTCATACGAATATACTGGTGTGATAACTTAGCATTTGGTATACAACTATCTTTATTTCATAGCTCCCCGCTGGAGTAAACACCAGCCGCAACTGCAACGTGGAGCGAAAAGTAGAAATCATCTGTCCGAACGGTCAGTTAACTGAGTTTGCTATAAAGTCCACTATGTAGTTCCTGCTCTTTAAACCAATTAAGGGGTCTAGGGTTTAGGGCCGACGTTCGGAAACAGCTATAGTGTTGGGAACGCCATAAAAGTTCAACATTGATTGTAGCTTTGTTTGCATCAACAACATGTCCTGATTCATTCTTTAGGTGGCTGTAAAAACATCCAAGATGCCTACTCTGGTTCTATACAAAGGTTTCCTATAGGCTTATTATATTATTTTTCTATTTTAAACTTTGTTTTAACTTTATTAGTTAGTGAGTGAAAAATATCTTTCTGTAAAAAAGACCAAGTGTGCAATGAATAACAAGGAAATAATGGATTGAGGTGAGGAGGCGACTCCTTGCGGAGGTGTAAAAAAGAAAGAAGTTCAATATCAAGTGTGAAAAAATATAAAAGACAAAAAAATAGGTATAAGAAGTAAAGCTTGGAGCAGAATATGAACACTGGTGTGGATGCGTGAAAGCTGCCAGCGGATGGCGACAGCGCACGCCTATATGTCTACTGACCGCATTGGTATATTTTTAGGCTCAAAAGGGACAAATTAAAGATTATCAGGATGGAACTTCTGGTTTTGTACATTTTCTGGTGTTTTTCACCATCAGCATAGCTCATGACTAGGCGCCTTTAACTGTCCTCTCAGCCGTAGTTTAAAATGACAGGATGTTATTAAAAAGCATGCTAAAACATAATTATACAACTTAAAGCAAACCTTTCAATTCAAACAAGCAAAACTGCAGGGTCGTGGTCAGACGAGGACAAATCACAGGTAAAGCATGAAACCTTAGCTGGACTCTTACTGGTTGAGGGATTATTTAGCCCCAGATGATTGATGTAGCCCATATTGGAAGCTATGACTCATCATGCTGGAGTGTTTGTGGATGTGGAGTGGATTTACTTTCATTTGAAATGAAGGAGCAGGCCCTCTCTGAACTGCAGACACACAACCAGACAGCTTCCCATTAGTTTATAATGCAACACCTTTACATTGATTAGGTTTTTGTTTTTGTTCCTTAACTAATTATTAATCCTTGTACAGATTTAGATTCGGCCAGAGATCATCATTTTTGCATAATTTCTTCTTATTATTTATTTATTCATTTATTATTATTATTATTATTATTATTATTATTATTAACACAGAAAGCCTAAAAATGTCCACATTGTTTAGTCTATTTAGCACTTTCACATCTTATATTGTATTTTGGTAAAGATCTGCTGAAAGTTGAAAAGAAAAACTTTTGGGTTTTTGTTATTTGATTTTTATTTTATTCTTTCTTTAATTCAAACCTGCTAACCTAGTAGTAGTTAAAAAAAACTGCTAGAGATGTTTCATTCTGTGTGCTATTGTGTTTAGTAGTAGGGCTGTGACAAAATGTTTATACTTTTAAATGATATTTCTATAGATTCAAAATACTAATATTGTGATATTTCATCAGACAGCGTTGGCACTGATTCAAAATATGCAGAATGGATCTTACATGTAAAAAAATATATTTCTTTAGGCAAACATTTCATAAAACTCTTAAACCTCCAGGCACTAGGTGGCAGTGCACAAAATAAGCTATTATTCAGCTGCTCTGAGGCAGCCATAGCTGAAATATTACAAATACCATAATATATTGTCTTTTTTAATGTATTGGGATATATCTGGATAAATCATATCGTTATGTGTTATGACATGCATCAAATCTCCCGATTGTTGCTAATTCACAACCCCTGCTTAGTAGGGGTTTAATAATATTAATATGGGAGGATACTTCCCATCAAATTTAAATACTTTTTTTAATAAATAAATTACAAAACAAAAGTTTGGGCACACCTTCTCAGGCAAAGAGTTTTCTTTATTTTCATGACCATGAAAATTGTAGATTCACATTGAAGGCATCACAACTATGAATTAACACATGTGGAATTTATATACTTAAAAAAGTGGGAGAAAAACTGAAAATATGTCTTATATTCTAGGTTCTTCAGAGTAGCCATGCACAGTCTTGGCATTGTCTTGATGAGCTTCCAGAGGCCGTCGCCTGAAATGGTCTTATAATAGTCTTGAAGAGTGTGCGAAGCAGTAATCAAAGCAAAAGGTGGCTACTTCGAGGAACCTAGAATATAAGACATGTTTTCAGTTCTTTTACACTTTTTTGTTAAGTATATAATTCTATATGTTAATTGATAGTTTACATGCCTTCAGTGTGAATTTACAATTTTCATAGTGATGAAAATAAAGAAAACTCTTTGAATGAGAAGGTGTGTCTAAACATCTGGTCTGTAATGTGCATCTAATTGTCTTCAGTGTAAACCGTTCTTGATAGCAGTAGTTCTCTAGGCGAGTGCTTTAAGTTCCATTTTGCATATCTAAGGTGTTTCCTGTTTAATGTATAACGCCCTAGCCAACCAGATTCCACTTCCATTTTGAAGTAATTTCTTGGTGGCATTACGTGTACCAAGCAGAACTCATATATACAGAAATACTGTAAATCATAACCAAGGAACTGTAAGCTGCTACGGACCCTGAACATGGTGCTTACTTCATACTGGAGCTAAAGGATTAGTTTAGTTTAATGAGGAATCTCTCTTCACCATTCACTCAAAATCAGAGTTAAAATTTAAAATCCTGAACTTGGTACTTTTACAATCAAAAGTTTTATAGACCATCTGTGATTTTCAAAACCTTTATTTGTCCTTTTCAAAACGCTGAGGTGTTAGAAATGACAGTCAGTGTGTCACTTTGGTAAAATAAGTATTTATTTTATTGGCCAAAGTGTTTTTATCTTGAAAATAGGTACTAGACTCTTATTTATTTGTGAGAAAGGAAACATTCCTTAATGTTTTCTCGTGTCAACACAGTTGATGATAAACACATTTTCAGGATACTCAGAAATAAAATCAGAAAGGTGCAAAATCAGGGAAGAAGCCTTACTGACTGTTCAGGGTTGTGGGTTCAGAATTTGGGGTAGAAATGAGAAGACAGGATGGAAAATTTATAAAATGTAGGCTGGTGTTTTTGTAGTCGAGACTGATTTAGATCTAAAAGAGATTATTGAGATGAATAAAACCCTTTCTTTTTACTTCCTTTATCAAAATACAAAAAAGTTATATGGCTTTTTTAGAACCAAATAAAATACTGCTTAAATCTTAACTTCTTTTCACCTCCTGAGCTTGATGTTCATTTTACACACTGATTCTTCAGAGAAAATGTAAATCTGTCAAAATCAAAACAGTCAGCACGTCAGACTACAAAGAGAAACTAAAAACAGCATCGGTCAGTGAACCTCTTCAAAAAAGGACGAATCTTTTTCTCTCAGTGACAAAGCCGCCTAAATCTGCATCAGAGTGTTGAGCTGCAGCCATGCAAGATGTAAACACTGTACTGAGGTCCTGAAGGGGCCGTCAGCACTATGATGCATTTTAAACCCGCTTAGAATTGGAGGAAAATCAGGGGTAGAGCTAGATGGGGGGCCAGGGGTGGCCATGGACACCCTTAGCCAATCATTGGCCACCCCTACTGTTTTCTTCTCTTAGGTAGAATATTCAAAACAATTTAATTTAATATATATTATGTATTATATATATAATGATTAGTACAGAATTCATGCTCTTTCAGAACTAGATGATGTGTCTCTGCAAGTCATCTAAGAGTCTTCAGTGAAATCATGTAAATAACTGTTATTATAAAAACCAATTAAATTATCAATTTATGTAGATATTAGTGCTTGTAAATAACAATTTAATGCAGAATGATATTGATAAAAGTAGGTAAGTAATGACGATGGAAAAGATGTTCGCTCCAGAACTCAAACCTGAAAGAATTTTATCCCATATACCTTTTATCTAGATGGGTGTTTAAATATATGCATCTATTTGTTATCAAAGGCTGTTGGAAAGTATAATTTGTCTTTATTTAGAAATATAGACGTTGTGCTGGTTCCTGTTGGATCAGTGTAGACTGACCCCAAGGTTCTGGTGCCTGTCCGCTTTCGGCCACCCCTCAGTGTACATTGGTTATTGCCTGGGCACCCTTATAAACATTTTCTGGCTACGCCTCTGAGTAAAATCACAGCCGCTTTACATTCAAGGAGTCAGAAATAATCACAGAGGATGCAGCAGAACCCCACCCCCCCATCAGACCCCCCTCTAACCAGCATCGAAAAACCAGAATGCATAGAAGAGATGAGAGGAGGAAGCAAACACACTCTCACAGCATCATTCCTTTGCAAACATTGTTTATAATGATGCTCTAAGGTGAGTTAAAGCACAGTAGGATTTCACATGCTGCTTCTGTCTGCACGCTCCAGGTGATGATAGACTGGAGATTTCTCCCTTTACTCACCCTTCAGTGGGTTCCCATATGGAGGCTGCGGTGTCCACCCTGTCCTCGCAACAATAAACACGCGTGGCTCATACTACAGCCTGGCAGGAGCCTCCTGGCTTGAGAGCAGCGCGTCGCTGCTGGATGTGCGTCCGGGCATCCTGCTGCCTCCCTGCGGATCTGCGTCCTTATTGTCTCCGCATCGCTCTGATCTCCAGGATGGGAGGAGAGGACCGGAGATGCAGAATGTACAACCCTCCCCCCTAAGTCCCCCCCTCCTCTCCTCAAGGATCCGACCAATCACAGCGCTGCTCCGCCGGGAGCCGCTGCTGCTTGCTGTCTCCGTACAGACTATGCTGCCTTCAGGGCTCATCGGAAATATTTTAAGTGAACGCAAACAAGCAGAAAATAATGGAAAAACCAAAAATATTCTAGTATATTAATATATATTCCAACATCTCTTTACACGCATATCTTGTATATACATTTATTTCTTAAAATAATACAAACACGTTACACAAGACCAATAAAATGTGCATTTTATAGCACATGTTATAACATGGAGTAATAATTAAAAGTCAATAATAATTATTATTAAATAGTCATTACCATCCTCTGCAGAGAAAAAAATTTTGTAAGTTACAAGGTTGGTTGTTCATAAAGTGTTATATACGTAATAGTTATAGAAAGTTGAGTGGAAGGAAAAGCTGTGCTAAGCTTACAAGCCACAGTAATAAAAATGGACTAAACTTGGAAGTTGGAGTACCCGGTACTTTATCTCCTCCCTCTGCTGACAAACTTTTTTGCAGATGATTATTTTGCTTTTCCAAATTTCCAAATCCCTGTCCACACTGTTAAATGAAGCAATACTGATTTAAAATGCATGAAACAAGAAGCAACAATCTTCTAAATAAAGCAAAAAAGAACACATTTATCAGGTATTATATTATTGTTTATGGCACAAAATTTTATATGCGAATGCTAGAGAGCATATCAAGTAATTGATTATTGCATCAGCTATCTCTAAACTAAGATATTTTGTTCATTTAAAGATGCTTCAAGCTTTGTTTAGAGCTAATAAAAGAGGCCTGGTCATGTTTTGGCTGAGGTTTTTGGCTCTCATTGGGCTGTCCGGCCTTTGCGGGGATGCCGGTTCCTGGCATTGTTTGGGGGTCTGGGATGTTTGAAAGGTTTTGCACCGTCCTTGGGGAGATGGCTGACTGTACGGCAGGTGGGATTGCTGCCTGCCCTGACAGTATGCCTGCAGTCGGGTGGGGGGACTCTGGTGGGCAGGCTCAGACTGGTAATCTGTGATACCGGGCATTTGCCCGGTGGGCCGTTCCTAATTTCAGCGTAATTTACACTTAAAATAAGACAACACAAATGCATTGTGTTATTTCAAGTGAATATTATTTAATTATCTTATTTTAAGAGTAAAAATACTCATTCCATTTGCAAACTATATCATTTACCTACACAAATTAAGGGTAAATACACTTAATTGAAGGAATTCTTTACTTATTTCTAGATCATTTGAAAAAGAGTGGGGATCCAGGAGATAAAGTGTTGCACCTCGCTCTTCTAGCTGGTCCATCTTCACGAGTCGTTTTCCACAATGGCGGTCATACAAACAAAACAAGCTGGTAAGGTACCAAACAGGAAATATGCATAGAGTAGAGCGGATGTAGATTTGACCAATCAGAGGCCTCCTGTCTGCAGTCACCTACAATTTTGGAGAGCTGCAGCAGAGCTTCTGCACATCTGCGTTAATTGCGACACACCCGCAGATGACCTTGTTTCTGAGTATAAATCAGCCTTAAAGCTGGGATTGTGTGAATGTGACTGGATGAAGGGGTGTTTGCCCCCTCTGCCTTATCTAATGAACATTCTAGCCCCCAAGTATGAGCAGAGTCTGCCTTCTCCCCCTTCTTATGCTTCCCGCCCTTGCCAGGTGTCTGCTGTCACTCTGAAGGTTCTCTGGGTGCGGGTTGGGTGCTTCATTGGGCTCTGTCTCAGTCCTGTGGCTGCCGGACCGGGCCTATGGGGTCCCCGCTAAGGGGTGATGCTCCCCCAGACCTCGGGGCTTTCATCTGGGTCCACCTTAGGCTGCTGCAGCCCCATGGAACCTCTGCACTATGGCCTCCAGGGTCAGTGTCTGGGCTCCTTTTGTGTTTGGCCCCTGGGGGGATTGAGCTACGGGTGCTCTGTCAGGGACAGATTTCCTTTGTGTTTATTATTTATTGATATTTTGGGATATGGAAAAAATATCAACCCTATATAATTACTATGAAACCAATAATTATTAATAATTTAGTCACAGCAGTAAAGAATAAATGTAAAAAATGGAAATGGGAAAGGACCAAATAGGAATATGTAGTTGCTGAGGAAGGATTGGCAAAGTTACAGGTGCTGGTCATAAAATTAGAATATCATGAAAAAGTAGATTGATTTCAGTAATTCCATTTAAAAAGTGAAACTTGTATATTATATTCATACATTACATACAAACTCATATATTTCAGATGTTTATTTTGTTTAATTTTGATGATTACAAATGACAACAAATGAAAATCTCAAATTCATCATATCAGAAAATTAGAATATTGTGAAAAGGTTCAAAATTGATGGCCCCTGGTGCCACACTCTAATCAGCTAATTAACTCAAACCACCTGCAAAAGCCTTTAAATGGTCTTTCAGTCTAGTTCTATAGGCTACACAATCATGGGGAAGACTGCTGACTTGACAGTTGTCCAAAAGACGACCATCGACACCTTGCACAAGGAGGGCAAGACACAAAAGGTCATCGCTAAAGAGGCTGGCTGTTCACAGAGCTCAGTGTCCAAGCACATTAATAGAGAGGCGAAGGGAAGGAAAAGATGTGGTCGAAAAAAGTGTACAAGCAAGAGAGATAACCGCACCCTGGAGAGGATTGTGAAACAAAACCCATTCAAAAATGTGGGGGAGATTCACAAAGAGTGGACTGCAGCTGGAGTGAGTGCTTCAAGAACCACCACACACAGACGTATGAAAGACATGGGTTTCTGCTGTCGCATTCCTTGTGTCAAGCCACTCTTGAACCACAGACAGCGTCAGAAGCGTCTTGCCTGGGCTAAAGAGAAACAGGACTGGACTGCTGGTGAGTGGTCCAAAGTCATGTTCTCTGATGAAAGTAAATTTTGCATTTCCTTTGGAAATCAAGGTCCCAGAGTCTGGAGGAAAAGAAGAGAGGCACTTCATCCACGTTGCTTGAAGTCCAGTGTAAAGTTTCCACAGTCAGTGATGGTTTGGGGTGCCATGTCATCTGCTGGTGTTGGTCCATTGTGTTTTCTGAGGTCCAGGGTCAACGCAGCCACATACCAGGAAGTTTTAGAGCACTTCATGCTTCCTGCAGCTGACCAACTTTTTGGAGATGCAGATTTCATTTTCCAACAGGACTTGGCACCTGCACACAGTGCCAAAGCTACCAGTACCTGGTTGAAGGACCATGGTATCCCTGTTCTTAATTGGCCAGCAAACTCTCCTGACCTTAACCCCATAGAAAATCTATGGGGTATTGTGAAGAAGAAGATGCAATACACCAGACCCAACAATTCAGAAGAGCTAAAAGCCACTATTAGAGCAACCTGGGCTATCATAACACCTGAGCAGTGCCACAGACTGATCGACTCCATGCCACGCCGCATTGCTGCAGTAATACAGGCCAAAGGAGGCCCAACTAAATACTGAGTGCTGTACATGCTCATACTTTTCATGTTCATACTTTTCAGTTGGCCAACATTTCTATAAATCCTTTGTTTTTATTGGTCTTCAGTAATATTCTAATTTTCTGATATGATGAATTTGAGATTTTCATTTGTTGTCATTTGTAATCATCAAAATTAAACAAAATAAACATCTGAAATATATGAGTTTGTATGTAATGTATGAATATAATATACAAGTTTCACTTTTTAAATGGAATTACTGAAATCAATCTACTTTTTCATGATATTCTAATTTTATGACCAGCACCTGTAGCTTTCACCAAACAGACAATGTTACAGACTGTAAATAATAAAAACACTTCTAAACATACTTTGTTTTCAAAGAAATAAGACACGTGTATAAACTGATTAATCTCCAGAGAACCAGAGAACTCAGCCACCAAAGACTTTCACTGAAAATTATGTTAGTTAAATGTAGTAAATGAAAAACCAACACAGAGGAACATCAACAGCGCCCAAAGTGGCTTTTATTAATGATAATTCGACCAGAAACTCAAATGTACGAGCTCCACCTGAACGTAACACCAATTTAGAACAGAGGGGCAGCTATGCAGTGCAATAAAAGATTCCCTTTTAATCCAAATGAGGCTTTATTGAAAACAATGTACCTCCAAGCCTCCAGCTAAGCTAGGGATGCAAAATGTCCTTCCATCGATTCAATCAGCACCCGTCTCAGAGGCTGATCCTTTGGAAGCAAACAGCTCCATAAACCAGGGGGAGGTGATCAAGCGTGGAAACTGTCCCTCCCCACAGGCTGTTTTCTAAGATCTCCACAAAAGACTGTTGGAGAAGAACTACGCCGTTTCAAAAAAACACCCACAGCAGACTTATGGAGATATTAACCGGGGCTTCAAGAAACGATTTTTATGATAGAATTCAGAAGCAAGAGGCATGAGGAGAGTGCCTATTAAAGGACGCCTGAAAGAGTCTGAGGAGGGGCTTAAAGTTAAGTTAGGGAGGTCAGAGTGCATCAGGCCTGTAGGGGTAAAGGGTAAAACTCTTGGATGAGGGTCAGTAATGGAGAGGATGTTTGGATTTACGTTGTGTTTCATAGGAAAACTCAAACATCCCCACATCATGATGCCGCCACCACCGTGCTCAGGGTGATATGCAGTCTACAACACGGAGCTCTTTGTCCCTCCTCTCAGTTCAGGTGGATTGTCATGTTCACAGCTTTGGATGTCGGCTTCCTTTCTGATAAGCTTGATGTGTTTCTTGCTCACCTGAGAAAAGTTGCTCCGAAAATCTGAACAGAAATGTGTTCAAACTGTTGGTTTGTACTGCTGAAACTTTGTCATTTTGATTATTTCAGTCACCGTCCATCCTTCCTTATATAGACCCCCGAACAGCACAAGCCTTTGGTCTGGAAAGCACACTTTGCAAACAGGCAATGCTACAAAATATGTTTAAACAAGTACTTACATTTAGGGTATTTTCTTTATTGTACCCATTTCCAATTATGATTGTTTGTATAACTTAAAGAAAACACTTTTTTTCCAACG